GAATACAACAAAACTTGCATATGTGTGTGTGTGTGTGTGTTTGTGTATATATATATATATTTGCTTTCTTCTCTTATCGTAGGTTTAAAAGTGTGTATTTTTCTTGAACCGGGTATTTTCGTACGTAAACCAAGTTTTTCAAATTGCAGCCATAGCTCAGTGAAATCACATCCACTATCCTAGGCTTCTTCAGACAGCAAGCAAGCATTTGCTGCCTATTGTGTACCCCAGAATCTAACATTTAATAATATCTACTAGCTCCTGCCTGAGGAATAATGGCCAAGCTATAATTAATCCGTCTTATCGATGTTTTCATTTCTCGTACTGCTCATTCCGTGAGAAGCAGGCAAACCTCCCCCCTCCCTCCTGTGATTCCCTAAAAATGTAACTAAAAACCACAATAACGATGGATTAGTTGTATTAATGAGGGATCCAACAGGTTTAATTAATTTTAGCCCATCGTTGCCGCTATCTACTCATATCAAGGGAAGCCTGAAAAAAGGGCAGATTTTTTGGCTGGCTGAATTCCTTTGATCCCCGTAATCAACGACTAATTTTCCAGCGCACAAATACAAAGGCACACCATTGTTCTTGTGCAAAGAATTTTTGTGTGTGTGTGCGTGCTTGTGTCACAAATTGCACAAAGCAGGAGAGCTGCAAACAAGCTGCGTTTGCCGTTTATGGATTTTTTATGGTTTTGTGGTTTTTTTTTTTAGTTCCCTTTCTGTCTCCCGCTGAATAAGAAAGCATTTTTGGCAAATGAAATCAACATAAAACTTTGCAGAAGACAGCAAAGGATGGCGACTGGAAAGAGCTGCTGGCGGAGGGAGGGAGGGAAGGAGGAAGGGAGGGAGACCAGGTCTTTCGGCCCAGATTCGCCAAGAAAAGTGCAACCAGAGAGATAAAAGCTGGGGGTGCGAACTGCAAATTAAACCTTTCGATATGTTGGTTCTGTAAAATGCTCTTAAAAAGCAGGAGTCGTAACGGGAAGAGATAAATGACACCACTGCCAACAATCTAAGACAATGATGGCTAACCTTTTTGCCATCGCGTGCCAGGAGCAGGGAAAGGGATCACGCGCGTGTGCCCATATCCATAATTCTATGCGCCCTGCCCCCCACACATGCACGTGTGACACCTCCACGCTCTCCACATTCCTGGCACGTGACAGCACAATAAGCCCGTTTTTCTAGGAATCTGGGGAGGGTGAAAACAGCCTTCCCCACAATCCCACGAGGCCCTCCAGAGGCAGGAAACACCCTGTTTCCCTACTTCTGGTGGGCCCAGAAGGCCTGAAAATCAGCTGGCGTGCGCCAGAGCTGAGCTCACGTGCCCACCGATATGGCTACGTGTGCCACTTGTGGCATGCGTGCCATAGGTTCGCCATCATGGACCTAGGCGGTATTTTGATGCCAAGCCCATGGCTTCCAGCCTCCCAGTGTTTGAAGAACATCTTTCTATCTGGAGCGGGGGCAAAACCACAATTTGACAAACAACTGCAGGTTTTTGCACGCAGAAATTCTGCGGGCATTCCTGCAGGCTACTAAGCAAAATGAATCAATATTTCGCGAATACAGCAATTAAAAAAAAAAAACTCCATTTCTATCCCAAGACTATGGTCTTCTACAGACCTACTAAAGGTAAAGGTAAAGGTTCCCCTCGCACATATGTGCTAGTCGTTCCTGACTCTAGGGGGCGGTGCTCCTCTCCGAAGAGCCAGCGCTGTCCGAAGACGTCTCCGTGGTCATGTGGCCGGCAGGACTCAACCACAAAGGCGCACGGAACGCTGTTCCCTTCCCACCGAAGGTGGTCCCTATTTTTCTACTTGCATTTTTTTTTACGTGCTTTCGAACTGCTAGGTTGGCAGAAGCTGAGACAAGTCACGGGAGCTCACCCCGTTACGCGGCACATGATTAGGGGACTGGAGGCTAAAACATAGGAAGAACGGTTGCAGGAACTGGGTATGTCTAGTTTGATGAAAAGAAGGACTAGGGGAGACAGGATAGCAGTCTTCCAATCTCTCAGGGGCTGCCCCAAAGAAGAGGGAGTCAAGCTATTCTCCAAAGCACCTGAAGGCAGGACAAGAAGCAATGGATGGAAACTCATCAAGGAGAGAAGCAACTTAGAACTAATGAGAAATTTCCTGACAGTGGAACAACTTGCCACCAGAAGTTGCGAATGCTCCAACACTGGAAATTTTTAAAAAGATGTTGGATAACCATTTGCCTGAAGTAGTGTAGGGTTTCCTGCCTAAGCCGGGGGTTGGACTAGAAGACCTCCAAAGTCCCTTCCAACTCTGTTATTGTACGATATTATATCTTCAGTATTGCAGCTCAGCTCATCAGAGAGGATGAAATGCAAAGTTTGGGGCTTAAATAGGATCGCCAGTTGCATTTACCGTGGCTGCGTCCCTTAACCATGATAGTTAGCTAGTCTGCCAGCCTTCCTGGGATTAAAGAAAACTATCAGGATTCCAGGTATCTATGAAGGAAGGAAGGAAGGAGAAAGAAAGAGAAAGGAAGGAAGGAAGGAAGGAAGGAAGGAAGGAAGGAAGGAAGGAAGGAAGGAAGGAAGGAATATCATTGTTAAGCTTTAGCAGATTAAAGGAGCTCAAGCCACGCTTTCATTCCCAGGTGTACATTTCCAACTCAGGAGTAAAAAAAAATCATTTTGCATGTTGGCGCACGGCAAAATCATAACAACAATAACAAACCCTAAACATCTGGCTGACTGCACAACTGGCCATCGTAAGGGTAACAGAAAAGGCTTCTCCCCATAGGCAGCCCCACAAATGCCCCCCCTCCACACATACAAAACCCAGTCTAATTTCTACTGGGCTAATATCCTTCCATGGGCTTTATTAGCAAAGAAACTGGGATGTCGTGTTCTTTTTTTGTTGTTTTTTTTTTTGCACACTGCATTTTTATGAAGGCAGGGAACAACTTGTGCAAGGAATGTGTCAGGTTGGAGACGGGGGAAGAGAGAAAGGCTGGGAGAATGTTAAGGAGGCAACTGCGTGGGGGAAAAAAAAGAGGGGGGAACCCCCCCTAAGAATGGGGAGAAGCTAAAGCGAGAGGTGTTTTTTTTTTTTTTGAAACGATGCAAACCGATTTTACGGCAGATGAAAAGAAGGTTTAAAAAAGAAACCTGACCTCTCCAAGCTTCAACAGATTGCTTCTACTGGGGCCTTTAATCAGTCTATTAAATCAAATTGCTCGGTGTGGCTACAAAACTGTTGTTTCAAAAGAAAAAAGAAAAAAGAAGTGAACAGAGAAGAAAGAAAAAGAAGTGACAATCCGCTGAAATTAAACCACGGCCAAAAATACAGCTCAGTGCCGAGTCAGCCGACCGAGATTTCTTCCACAAACATGGCTGAGCAAACTGAAGCAAAACGCCTTGTTCAGGCTGAGCCTCTGCCGAGGGTGTGTGTGTGTGTGTGTGTGTGTGTGTGTGTGTGTGTGTGTGTAGGTGGCGGCCACGGGCGCAGCCACGGCAGGCCTTGAAGGAATAAGGTGATTGTCTATTGCAGGTGTCAGCAACCTGCGGCTCGGGAGCCACATGCGGCTCTTTGGGCCCTCTGCTGTGGCTCCCTGTTGGGTGATCCCACCACTGGCTGACACTGCCCCTCGCTCTCCCTTCCCAGTCACTCCTCGCCTGGCCTGAGAAGGTAAGGGCGACGGCGGGTGATGGAGAAGCGGCCAGGACAGAGACAGAGAGATACAGAGAGAGCGGGAGAGAGAGAGATATAGAGAGATACAGAGAGAGCGGGAGAGAGAGAGACAGAGAGAGATACAGAGAGAGCGGGAGAGAGAGAGACAGAGAGAGATACAGAGAGAGCGGGAGAGAGAGAGACATAGAGAGATACAGAGAGAGGAGGAGAGAGAGAGACAGAGAGAGATACAGAGAGAGGGGGAGAGAGAGAGACATAGAGAGAGACAGAGAGAGAGACAGAGAGAGATACAGAGAGAGCGGGAGAGAGAGAGACATAGAGAGATACAGAGAGAGCGGAGAGAGAGAGAGACATAGAGAGATACAGAGAGAGCGGGAGAGAGAGAGACATAGAGAGATACAGAGAGAGGAGGAGAGAGAGAGACAGAGAGAGATACAGAGAGAGGGGGAGAGAGAGAGACATAGAGAGGGGGAGAGAGAGAGACATAGAGAGAGACAGAGAGAGAGACAGAGAGAGATACAGAGAGAGGAGGAGAGAGAGAGACAGAGAGAGATATAGAGAGAGAGGTGGGGAGAGAGGGAGAGAGAGATATCAAAAGGGTTTTGTGGTTCCCGGTGTTTTTTAACAACCGGTTCTCTGCCCTAATGACCTGCTAAGTAGGCGTGGCTGGGGCGGGTCATGTGACTGGTGGAAAGTGAGTGACATTGAGTTGGCCACGCCCACCCCAGGTTTTGTGGCTCCCGGTGTTTTCTTTTCTGTGGGAAACGGGTCCAAATGGCTCTTTGAATGTTTAAGGTTGCATATTGTAATCTTGTGTGGAATTGTGTGCCGTGCAAATTTTAAAAGAAGGGAAGGAATCAAGATCACCCTCCCTGGAGGAGAAAAAGTTACTCTGTCCACATCTGCTTCGAAGAAGGGACTGGGAGGGAAAATGACAGCTTTCTTCCCAGAACATGTAAAGCAGAAATAAATACATTATTCCGAGTTGTGTGGCTTGCTGGGAAGTACACACACACACACACACACACACACACACACACACTGTTATCATTCTAGATGTCGCCCGTCTTTCTTCAAGCTTCTCTTTTGAAGTCTCTGATGCTGGAAGGACCGGCCAAGTTGACGGACTTGCTTTGAAGATGAAATCCTGGCTGACAGCTGAAATCTCTCAGCCGTCTTTGGCAAGCTTCTCACAAGGAGGCAGATCTGGTCTTGAACCCAGAATCCTCAGCTGGTAACAGGGGGTGGGGAGGGGGGAATGCATGTGTTCTCTGCCCAAATGGTGGATCCAAGAGGTGTGCTTTCCTGCTCACACATACACACACACATCTAACTGTGCTTTACTGGGTTTATTAATATTCCCCCGCAACTCCAAGGGGTAGGATTCAGATGGTTCGGATCAGTTCGGGTGAATCAGACGCTAAATTTACATCTGGTTCATCGAACCGGTAGTTTCCAGTTTCTGAAAGTTTCCAGGTTTTCTCCACCCAAAAGAAAGTTCAAGTGCAGCACCCACATGTCCGTCATGTGGTCCAATCAGGCTCCATCCAAAACTGATGATAGCTCCCAGTCCCTTCATGGCAGCTTGTAGGGCACCATGGCCTTGACTCTCTGAGAAAAGAATGTTATTTTGACTACTATGTATCACCCATGCTGTATACAACCCTCCCCCCTGTCCCATTTTCCCACAGTAGAAAATGTGGCAGGCCTGAAGGCTCAACTGTAAAAGATGGCTTCCAGGTCTGACACCTTTGGTTAAATCCCCAACACGATGCCCCCCTCTTTTGTCCTTCTGGCAGATCGGCTCCTGTCTTTCTAACCTTTCTAATTGAGGCTTCTTAACCTTTCTCCTTCAATTATCCCCGTGCTATATATTTTTTTAAAAAAATTTCACAACGCAAACGGGGGTGGGGGCAATTCATCTCCCAGGTTACCTTTGGAAAAGGTTAAAAGGAAGAGCCCGGGATGGAGCGAGACATGAAAACGATTCAAGTTCAACATTTGCCATTCTGGGCCACCCTTGGAGACTTCTGCAAACAAGAGATGACATTTCCAGAAAATCGAAATTTCCTTCGGGCTGCTGTTTACGTACCTGGCAGGGAACAGAGGAGGCAGACACCCGTAAAAATAGCCTCACGGCTTCTCAATCCTGAAGGGGCCCCGTGCGAATCTCCTCACGGCTCTCCCGGTGCTTGAACCCTTAGCTTCTTCCCCGTGGTCGTGTTCACTAGGAAATTATTCTAGAATGTTCCGCCTCATAAACCTCACAGCTGTCTTGCCCTCAGAAAATCACACACAAGAATTGAGTGACAGTCAGTTTGAAAAAAAGGGGGTGCAGAGATTCTATTTTTTTTTACTACCGGCTTGGTGGGCGTGGCAGGGGAAGGATACTGCAAAATCTCCATTCCCTCCCCACTCCTGGGGGAAGGATACTGCAAAATCCCCATTCCCTCCTCACTCCAGGGGGAGGGATACTGCAAAATCCCCATTCCCTCCCCACTCCTGGGAGAAAGATACTGCAAAATCCCCATTCCCTCCCCACTCCAGGGGGAAGGATACTGCAAAATCCCCATTCCCTCCCCACTCCTGGGAGAAAGATATTGCAAAATCCCCATTCCCTCCCCACTCCTGGGGCCAGCCAGAGGTGGTATTTGCCAGTTCTCTGAACTACTCAAAATTTCCGCTACCGGTTCTCCAGAACCTGTCAGAACCTGCTGGATTTCACCTCCGGTGCAGAGTTACTGTACCATGGAGCTGAGGAAGAGACATTCGGGGAGCCACACCAAAGGACTGAAGGAGGGAGGGAGGGGGAAAAAAAATCAAATGGTTAATTAAATCTTAATATTATTCCATTTCATTAATCTAACTTAATGGCTAAATACACGGGCTTATAATGATCTTCCTCTACATGGGAATTAATTCCTGGCTTTAAAGTAAATTATAAACTTCTGTGAGGAGGTGGTGACGGCTGAGTTTTTGTTTTAATTAACCTATCCAGAATAAGGTTTGCCTTGGTTCTCACCTACAACCTATTTTCTGGGCCTGCCCCAAGATTCAGAATTTTAAATTAATCCAATGAGCTGGATTCATCCATCAGGCTAAATCACAAATAAAAGTAAAAAAAAAATTAATCATCCTTAGCTTAATCCAGTGTTGGCAAAACACTTCGGCACCAAGTGTCAAAATGGGAGCCCGTGTGTGCATGCATATGTGCTGGAAACTGGAAGATCAGACACCCGGCGGGCATGCGTGCCCCAGGAAAATGATTTCCGGTTTCCGGCATGTGCACCGGGCACCTAGTTTTCAGGTTTTCTGTCGTGCATGCCCGCACCGGTCAGCTGTTCTTTCGGTTTCCGGCACACGCATTCGCACATGCGTGCATGAAGACATCTGGCTGGTGCACATACGCACACCGTATGCACACGCGCACTGGGTAGCTGCTCTTCCGGTTTTGCGGGCGTGAAGACCAGCTGGCTAGTGTGCCAGAACCCGGAACAGCAACGGGCAACATCTCGTATGCCTGGAGAGATGGTTCTGTGTGCCACTTCCGGCATATGTGCCATAAGTTCGTCATCACGGGCCTAGTCTGTGCAGCTGTTAGATCCATGTGGAGATAGGACTGGTGAGAAGATAATTGGCGTTCGAGAGAAAACTGCTCCCTTCCTTCTCCAAGACTCGGAAGGCTAGAATTTGTGATGTCTCAGCCTTAACCAGTCCATGTTTTGCCGCGAAAGGTCTCACAGCTGAGCCACCTCTGGGCTGCCTCTTTTTTCGAGGTCGTGCCTCAGCTTTGCAATCTCTTGGCCCTGAAACCCAAACTCGGTGGGTGACAAATACTTGGAGAGGGGGACAGGAAGACAAAGTCAGCAGAACGTGACCCGTTGCCATGGAGACCCAAGCTCCCTTCCGCAGCATCTTTGCGGCTCGCGGGAAGAAAACCAGCGAAGAGAGAGGGGTGGGGGGAAAAATCCCTGCCAACGAACTTGCTGGGGGATTGCACCCAAGTATCGTGGTCCACCTAGGTAGAGAGGCTGAGCCCTGTGTCGATGAGGAGAGGACAACGTCAAACCACGATCCCAGACGAAACGATCAGCGGCCAGGCTCCGTTTGGCCCAGGAGAAGTAGGACTTTTGATTGTTCACTTCTCTGGAGGATCAAGAGGAGAAGCAACCTAGAACTAAGGAGGAATTTCCTAACAGCGAGAACAATCGATCTTGGCCTTCAGAAGTCGCGGGCGCTCCAATTACGCGAGGCTTTTAAGAAGAGAGACTGGGACTTTTCCGGAACGGTATTAGGGTCCCCTGCTCGAGCAAGGGGCTGGACTAGAAGGCCTCCAAGGTCCCCTCCCTGTTATTCTGTTATTTTGTCATTCACTTAGAACATGAGTAGAAAATGGCACTTCGGCTCTGCTATACCTTCTTATATCTACCGTGTTTCCCCGAAAATAAGACCCTGTCTTATATTTTTTTTTTTCTCCAAACTGCACAGAATCTTAGCTAGAGGTTCTCCCGAATCCCTGGACTCATCCCATCCCATCCCATCTTCTATTCTGCATTCTATTCTATTCTGTCCTATCCTAGCCTGTTCTGCATTCTATCCTACCCTACAGTATTCTATTCTGCATTCTACCCCATCCTGTCCCATCCCGTCCCGTCCCGTCCCGTCCCATTCTATATTCTATTCTGTCCTGTCCTGTCTTATGCTGTGCTATCCTATTATGTCAATAACTTGTATTTAAACACACAGGGGCCTTATTCATTTATTTAGCATATGGCATATCATACATGGACTAGCAAAACATATTAACATTTCAATTAGATTAGTAGAACCCAATAAATTGAATGGAATGGAATGGAATGGAATGGAATGGAATGGAATGGAATGGAATGGAATAGAATAGAATAGAATAGAATAGAATAGAATAGAATAGATGGAATGGAATGGAATGGAATGGAATGGAATGGAATGGAATGGAATAGAATAGAATAGAATAGAATAGAATAGAATAGAATCAGGGGTGGGTTGTACATACCTTTACTACCGGTTTGCAACAGGGTCATTCGCGCTTGCTTGCTTTGCTCACGCAACCCACCACAGAGTAGAATAGAATAGAATAGAATAGAATAGAATAGAACAGAACAGAACAGAACAGAACAGAACAGAACAGAAAATATGGAACGGAATAGAATAGAATAGAATAGAATAGAATAGAATAGAATAGAATAGATTTTTATTGGCCAAGTGTGATTGGACACACAAGGAATTTGTCTTTGGTGCATAAGCTCTCAGTGTACATAAAAGACAAGATACGTTCGTCAAGAATCCTAAGGTACAACACTTAATGATAGTCATAGTTTCACCCGTCTCCCTCGAAATGAACTCCATCCTGGCTTCTGAAACCTTGCAAAGAAGAGGGCTCCGGATAAAAGAAGGCCGAGAGAACTACAACCTGAAGAACTGCCCTCCTTGCTGAATCTGAGTGATCGCTTTTGCCTTGGCGTTCATAGCTGGCTGCACTTGTTCAGCAAGGATGGGAACGAAAGGAAAGGATTCTGGTGCTTTTTTAAAAAAAAACAACATGATGTAACACTCCCCTCCCTGGCTTTAGATATCCCCAAGAAGCAGCCAAGGGAGTTGAGATAAGTTGCAAAGTGCTTGCCAGCAGGTTCTGCATCCCGATTCCCAGAGCGTCGTCAGTGTAGAAAGTAGCATTTTTTAATGGCAGAAGCGTTGCCGTTTTATTTTCCCGGATGGGTTATAAAAATGGGCTTTTAGCATAGGCTGTTTCTTTTCTGCTTTCTTCCAGCTGATGTATTAAAACAAGGAGGAGGAGGAGGAGGAGGAGGAGGAGGAAAAGGAGGAGGAGGAGGAAAAGGAGGAGAAGGAGGAGAAGGAGGAGAAAGAGGAGGAGGAGGAAAAGGAAGAGGAGGAGGAAAAGGAGGAGGAGGTGGTGGAGGAGGAGGAGGAGGAGGAAAAGGAGAAGGAGGAGGAGGAGGAGGAGGAAAAGAAGAAGGAGGAGGTGGAGGAGGAAAAGGAGGAGAAAAAGGAGGAGGAGGAGGAGGAAAAGGAGAAGGAGGAGGAGGAAAAGGAGAAGGAGAAGGAGGAGGAAAAGGAGGAGAAAAAGGAGAAGGAGGAGGAGGAGGAGGAAAAGGAGGAGGAGGAGGAAAAGGAGGAGGAGGAGGTGGAGGAGGAGGAGGAGGAAAAGGAGAAGGAAGAGGAGGAGGAAAAGGAGAAGAAGGAGGAGGAGGAGGAGGAAAAGAAGAAGGAGGAGGAGGAAAAGGAGAAGGAGGAGGAAAAGGAGGAGAAAAAGGAGAAGGAGGAGAAGGAGGAGGAGGAGGAAAAGGAGGAGGATGAAGAGGTGGAGGAGGAAAAGGAGGAGAAAAAGGAGGAGGAGGAAAAGGAGAAGGAGGAGGAGGAGGAAAAGGAGGAGGAGGAGGAGGAGGAGAAGGAGGAAAAGAAGGAGGAGGTGGAGGAGGAAAAGGAGGAGGAGAAGGAGGAGGAGGAAAAGGAGGAGGAGGAGGAGGAGGAAAAGGAGAAGGAGGAGGAGGAGAAGGAGGAGGAAAAGAGGAGGAGGAGGAAAAGGAGGAGGAGGAGGAGAAGGAAGAGAAGAAAAAGAAGGAGGAGGAGGAAAAGGAGGAGGAGGAGAAGAAGAAGAAACAAATAAACCTGAATTCTTTTCATCCTTGTTTATACCGGAATGTTTTCCAAAGACAGCAGAGAGGTTTTTCGTTCACCTTTCTCCCTCATTAATAAAATAAAATCCCTGACTCTCTTTGGATGCACAGAAATGTTGACAGCAGCTGGGAGGGGGGGGGGGGGAAACAAGCCCAGCCGACATTCTTTAAACCCTCCCTTTGGGTGGTTACTGACCCCAGACCTGCAAAAATTAAGGTTGGCGCCCTTTTGCCAAAAAGGTAAGGCTCAGTTAGCCGGCCTAATCATGCTCGCGTTCAACCCACCACCCCTGATTTTACAAGGCTGTGACAGACTGGCTCTTTCGCAGACCTTAGATTAACGCATCTCCCCGAGAAAGGGGAGCATTAAAAAAAAAAAAAAAAAAGAACCCTCCTCCGCTGTGATCACTCCTGCTCTATTATTTATGACACTTTGGTTCTTCCGTATATAAATAATCCATGACTGCAAAGTGGGGTTTGTGCATTGAATATTCATGGACGCTCTTTGCATATATAGCTCATTCATTCCCCGGGAACCTACAAAAATTCCAGACAGGAAAATAACACTGAGAACGAAATGAGCCCCGAAGAAGCCGCCCTCGCGATGGGACTTCGCAATGCCAACCCAAAGGGGCAGGAGGGAGATGAGTTAGTTGGCACGTTGGCAGTCGTCCTCCGGAAGCAAAAGCCCCTTCTTGCAAAAAAAAAAAAATATTTTTTTGGG